GGGTTCTGCCAAAGGGTTTCTCAGCACTGACACCCTAACCATTGGCACCGGTAAAGTACATAACCAGACATTTGCCCAGATTACATCTGACCCTGGTCCATCAGATGTTTTGGGCAATTATGACGGTATAATGGGTATGGCTTACCAAGTGCTATCGGTGGACAACACAATCACACCGTTTCAGCACATGATAGCACAGGGAGTGGTGTCGGCGCCGGTCTTCTCCTTTTATCTGAACCGAGACGTGAAGGGAAGGCCCGGCGGAGAGCTTATACTCGGCGGCTCTGACCCTAATCATTATATCGGTAACTTTACGTACGTTCCGGTGACAAACCAGAGTTATTGGCAATTCACCATGGACGGGTTATTGGTGGGTAACAATACTGATGGTAAATTTTGTTCGCCCAACTGTCAGGCCATTGCCGACACCGGCACTTCCACTATAGTGGGTCCGACTAATGAAATCAAAGCAATTAATGCTTTAATTGGCGCCCGAAGTGTAGGTAATGGCAATTATGTGGTCGACTGTAAGCGTGTAAACGCGTTACCGATCGTTACCCTAACGCTCGGCGGTAAAGCGTTTCCACTAAAACCGTCGCAATATATTTATAAACAGTTAGGACTTAACGGTAATATCCAATGCGTGTCTGGCTTTGAAAGCGATGATGATCCGTTATGGATATTAGGCGATGTGTTTATTGGTCCCTATTATACTGAGTTTGATTTTGGTAGAAATAGGATTGGATTTGCGCCATCGAAATAAATAAATTATAATTTTATTATTTTTAAAATTTTAAAATTATTTAAAATTGATTTAATTAATTAAATAAATAAGTAAATATACAAAATACAATTTCAGTAAAATGTTTATCAATGGTAGTAGAATGTTGTGCAAGCTACTTGTTTTATTCTATATAATAAAACAATCGAAGACTTAGTTGATCACCAATGTTATTTAAATGTTATGCAAAATTATTGTTTTATTGAATATTTAATTTTAAATTACAGTTTAATAAAAAATGTATATTGTATTACAGAACGTTAAACAAAACTTTTATATTAATTTTTATATTTATTTAAATAATAATTAATATATACAAATGTAATTAATACATTTAATTTATTTTAAAACTTTATTTATAAAATTTATATTGAGTTTATTAAATTAATTGTTATTCTATTTAATTGGTATGAATCTTGAAATCAATGTGAAAATATACATCATTTTATGTATGCATTTATATAGTTTATTTATGTTTTGTTTATTAGATCAATTTTTGTAGTTTAACTTCCATTGTTTCTATTGTTAAAAATTGATTAAAACTATACAAATTATTATACAATGTTATTTATGTTACAATTTAAGCATTATAAATATATTATTTAATGTAATTTAATAGATCTGTTTTATTTACCTCTGCCTAAAAATGTTTAATACAATAGTTTCACTTTACTGTAACCTCAGTTGCAATAATGTTTATCGCAACTATTTATATTAGTTTAGCATTAATTGAGTAGATAATTTTTTAAATCTTTAACTAATTACAAAATTTTATAATACTGGCACTATATAACTTATCAAATGGTATCAAATACCTATAATAACGCAAATCAATGCATTCAAAAATCTTAAATAAATTGGTAATTGGTTGACCCAAAATTAAAACACGTCATTCAGTATGTTTAATAAGATTTACGTGAGTGAAATTAATATAATATAATATTAAATAAACCAATTAAAATAAATCATAAATTATTATTTATGACCAGGGAATTGCATTTAACTATACCACCTATTTTTAGCGGTTAATAGCATTACCCCCAGACTCGGGATGTGAACCGATCATGTATTGGGGGTCAGTTTACCGAAAGTTTATTTTAACTATATTTAAC